TGAGGATGACGAAATGATACTTTTCAAACCACGGAGCACCTGTCAGTTACATTAATCCCGTATCAGACTAGCTATCTATAGCGGTGTGAGAGTAACGCAATTACGTGAGATTCGTATCCTACTCGGATGACAGTCAAAGTGATATGCGTGGTAAACTGAGCTCCGATGTATAGTGTGCACAACATAAAATATTATGTAAATCTTTGTTCAGACGTTCTTCACAAATACGAGAAATTTGTCAATGGAACAGAAAATTGTTCCGCATTACGATGGTGATATTCCGTCACAATTGCAGGCAGTAGTTCTATCTGGACTTTCGTTTGAAACATTGTTGTGTTCATATTATTCGGAGACAAGTGTGTATTGATGCCAGGCTTGCAATAGGCGAAACATCTATTGCCCTGTTATATGCGACGTATTTACTTACTCAATATCATGGAAACTATGCTGCAATTGTACAAAAATACAATTTATGTCTCGAATTCTACTGGCGTGTTGAATCTCGAAGAGTACGTTTGAAATGATGAATCATCAGGCCAGTCTTTGTAAGGAGTTTGCATTTATTCCTCTAAATATATGTTGTATATATTGGGATAAACAAATGTAGCTGTTAACTCATGTGATACGCAATAGTTACGTAATATTTAATCATCACTGCCTATTATACGGCGTCAACCATAAACGATTAATCTTGAATTTTAGAACAGCATTGATTCTTGACGAATTGCAGATAAGTCTACCAATCGAACTCGGATTCCAATACTACCACTACTAGTTCTACTTATTCTGAATTTTATGCTTCAAAATCATTATTATTTAAATTTTTGATCAGAAGGATTTTATTTCAGTTTGAACATCACTATTTGACTTAGGTGTTCATGGTTCACAACGATTAGTTTATGTTATTGAGCTAGTACATACATCACATGCATTATTGGAAAATAGTTGTTTCGCCTATTGCAAGCTGAAGATGAATACTATATTGTCTCCGAATCACACTAGCATAACAATGTCTTGAACGGAATTCCAGATAAAATCAATGAAATCTAATTCTGACGGAACGCGTAAGAGCTATTGTTCAAGGGATAACTTTGCTGATTTTGCGATGGGAACTGATAGAAACGGCATTTATTGTGCATTTCCGGGAATGCTAATTAGCATACCTGAGTGCACGAAATAAATAAATACCTAATTCATCAGAAATCCATTGACCGTTTTAATACAGTATGAAACCGTAAATGTCGTACTTTATGATTTATACCATGAGCAAGTAGCATGATGTAAACCATACATTCCCCAACGCAAATTCTTCATTCATCAGTTCAAAGAGCATGTTGAATAATATGTACAGAAGTGAAAGCAATTAGTGGATGAAAAGCATACTTAGCTATAACCCAGCTCTATCAGCAGTGGAAGTACATCGACGCGAGTGAGGATGGAAAACATGATCTGAGAGGTAGAACAATACCATACCACGGAGCATGTGAAATTCGCATATTTTACTTTGCTTGCAAACGATACAGCACAAAACATCTGTGTGAGCATAATTGAGTCCACACAACGTGCACACCTCTGCGCCGGGATTTGCTTTATTGATGAGTTGCAAACGCAATGCGACAGATGCCAAGATGGAATGCAGCAGTCGATCCCGCTGATTAGAGTGAAACATGAAACCTGTTGGTTAGAAATAAGTTGCAATTTGTTATTCTTATTCAATATAAATACTACGCAATTTACAGCTTTATCCTTGTGCAATCGGTAATCATTTTGCCAAGTGTGATTCTCAATGACAGAGGCACACACGCGATCGCATTTTACTTCAAATTCGCGACTTTAATCAAATCACCTCAAGGAAATGGTGAGCGGGATGACCAAGATCAACACAGTATTTACCTTACTGGTCAAGAATCTGTGATTTGCCGTTGAGTACAGAATTGGATTTCACAGAGTAATAGATCGTTTAGAGCGAGGGAACGATTTTCTTGTAATAACACATGGCATATCATCTGTTTACTACAAAACCACTGCACCCAGTTTTACACGAGGAACACGTTGATGTAGCCAATTCTAATCAAGTGGAGAAAAATGGTACGTACCTGAAGTGTGAATTGACAGAATTTGACGAACTTGTACACGGGATACATAAACGAAGGGCGATCAAAAACTATTACAAGAATTAATATGAAGAGAAGCAATTATTATTATTAGGTGGGTCCTACGATCAACCGACGATTTATACGCAAATCTAGTTGATATCTTGTTAATTACAGCTTCCCTTTTGTTAACCTATATATACCGCATTTAATCTTGCAATTTTTGAATCAGTCCTCATGTTCATTAAACTGTTCGATAGAGAGATTACAACTCCATCATCTTAGTAGTTAAATCAACGAGTTTAAGGGTGATAAAAGGTACTGAAATGAAAATGAGAAAGGTGTTTCTGCATCTTTCTTGGATATAAAGGTATTTTTTGTCGTTTTAAGGAGGTGTCCGGTTTCCATCGGCAGTTATATCATTAGATTCACAATGCGAGTGCTAATGGACCAGGATGGAATCAACTGTCCAGTGCTTCCAGACATTTTAGTCCAACCCGCATTTGCTTTGCGCACAAAGAACTTCAATATGTAAACCAAAAACACAAATTGACCACTATTCCCATTCAATAATCGTCGTCCCTAATGTGACCTGCTTCTGCGTTTATCTGTCTTGTGTAGCAAGTCGTGCGTGCGAATGTGCAATATCAATCCAATTGCAACAAGGGGCATCAAACATCTGGTTGAATCAGAGATTGATGTAGATTTGGGCGAATTACCAACCAAGACTCTATGGCTTACCAAAAATAAACAAGGATAGAGTGTTTCTCAATACAATCCTAGACGTATATAACTCCTCTGACCATGCCATAGCTGAGCGGATGGCAGCGATCCTGCAACCCGCGCGAGCACAACTCACTAATCACACATTATTGGATTCCTAGGAATTGGTGACCAGAATGAGAGACTAAAACGTAAATGGATTACGAATTTAATCACTCGACGTCAGCTACCTGGTCACAAACGTCCCGCATGCTGAAACTATGGATTACTTATGTGACCACATATAAATCAATAATTGTAAAATCAGAATCTCAGTTATTGATCTCACGCAACTATTATATCTGTGCACACATAACATACAATTGAAATTCAACGACACGCTTCATTGTCAGATAGATGGGGTATCCCCTGGGACCATCTTTTGCGGATGTCTTCATAAATGAGCTGGAAAATAACATCCTGAAACAAACAATCGATCGTTGTGCATTATACAAGGGATACTTGGATAACATGTTGTGTTTTGTCGACGATAGCATGAATCTGTCAGTACTCTGAAAAGTAACTCTGCGCACCGAAACTCAAAGCTCACAACTTAGAGAACGAAAAGAATGGGCAGATCATATTTCCGGACATCTGATTTGGTCGTCGATCAGAAGGATCTATCCAGCGCGCCATCCGCGGAAGCCATCGTACAACAATCAATATATAAATTTCAAGAGCCTAATGCCATTTGAAAGAAAAGTGTCGTGATTTCAGTCCTAGTTACTAAAGCACCATTACCACTTTATGATGATAGCATTGAGAGCGAAGTATGGTTTATCCAAAAGATTAACTTTCGCAATGGTTAGTCAGATTTTTTGATGGACAACATTTGGAGGCGGCACTGATTACGAAATAATATTACTACCGTTGGGAAGAAATCGGTCTACTACCTCTCAATAACAACACAGCTATCTTAGGGTTAACACGTTAACTGAGTAGAGTTTTGGCTAATGCGTTCTCCGAAACAAAACCTGGCACTGCACTCATCTGATGGCTACTTTGGCGCGTCCAACGCAAATGTTAACAGGTTGTTTCAGCCATTTCATTCGGTATATACTTGTTTACTTGTTTTTGAAAACTTTATCGCCATACGAAGAGACGATTATCTGAACGAGTTTGAGACCACCACCCTGGCTGAAACGAGGAGTGATGAGGACCTCAAAGTTCCAATCGATTCACGGAATCCGCCTACATAATCACCTCCTTTACACTCCCAACAAGAATTCGTAAATACACTCGCTGTTTCATGGTGAATGTACACGACACACTCATTTCCCCACCCGCCCCTAATGCCTGGAATCAATGCGTATGCGTGATCACTCAAATGAAAGCGAATCCAGCCAAAGAGCTGGAATGTCGATTATTCCATTTTCTCATTGTGTTAAGCTTTCTCTCACTAACGTAAATCATGATGTGTGAACATGAAGATGAATCACCACAAACGAGCTTGTTCGCTAATCTGTTTTTTTACAAGGTTTAATATTGGTGTAATTGGACACATTGATTTCCTCCTTATTTGGCCTTTCTTCTCCCTCTGTTCTAACACCCTCGCGATACAGTGCATTTGCGGTTAATAATAGTGAGTCAATTCTACTCCAATTACTCGAGAATAGTACAATCGTTAGGAGCATGAATATGAACGGACAGCTGTGGACAGTCATTATTCAATGTGTATTTTAAACGTGTTGCTGTTTAACTGTCTTATTTTACTCATCCATAACGAGATAATGGATCAAATTTCTCTTTCTGAATACCTGGGATTTTCGTGAGTTCAAATGCTTCTTCTTTCAGTATATTCAAAAGATTGTTCAACAATTTAGATTATTCAGAATGCAAGCAATTTCACAAAGAATATCGTTGCATGTTTTTGTGTGTGTAACACACACATATTTCACCTACATAAGGATAAAGTCAAACTTCATGCTATCAAATAACTACGTTGTATTTAGTTTGCATTCTTCCAGGTATTCAAGTATTCCATGGATTTGTGTTAAATTTTCCATGTATGCGATTTGTGTTGAAGTGATCTGTTGAAATTGTGAAAACACGGAGCGTCAATAAAAAATCATGGGAGCTAAGTGTGTGTTCATATGCGCCAAAGATCGTTGCTGTTAGGATAAAACCAAAGTGTATTAAATACACTCACCATTCTCGACCGTACACGCTGAACAAAGCAGATAAACTGAGAAGCATTGTGGGCAACATGGATTTGGTGGCGACATCTAAAATTGGATTCGATGTAAACGAAGAAAAATGAGGTAGATCATAATGGTTGATAATTAGGTGACCAAAAATATAAGTTAAACACTAATCCAGTGAGCTTTCAGAAGTTACACATGATGCTGATGAAATATTGGCTATAAATCTGCAGAATCAACTTCAACACCCTTTGATCTGAAAATTATTTAGGGAAAAATGGAAACGTATTATCGAGTAATGGAACTGACCTAACTGATAATGTATTTTGAAGTTAGACTGTTGGGTCCCTCCTGCCAATTCGTCAGCATATGCGACCAGGGCGCCTTTACCGGGGGACGAAGTGAACGTGTTGTTTTGCTGTTTGCCACAGATAATCGATGCTCCGGTTTGGTCTGCATTAGCGACAGCGACACACTGCGTGTCCGTTTTCGGCTACGTTGAAAATAAATGAAGACAAGATAAAGGACACCAATTAAGCATTCTAGTCCAATTGAAACACAAGCATCCTGTTTGAAAACGGGTAGAGAACGAATGCGTCGATATCGCCCTTCGCGCATCTGTGGCAACCGGACTGTAGTGAATAATAATTATATACCTACTGTGGGTCGATACATTCTTTGGGGAAGTACCCACATTTTGTTTGTATGTTCGGCAACGAATAAAGTGTCGACCAAATATTTTTGAACGTTCGAGCGCAAAATTTCACAACAGATTACTTTCGGGATCAATCCCTTGAGATTCAGGCGGAAGGGTAATCGGCTGTAAAAGGGCATTGCGGGAGTCCTTTGTTGTTAGCAATCAAAGTGAAAGCAAAACCAAAGGTGTATTGATAGGAGAAGTGAAACACAAATCGTGCTGTATGGTGTTTTATCCGGAAGTTCATTGATGAAAATAGAGAATGTAATGATCAGATTTGAAAGTTGTTTTCTGATTCGCATATTATAAATAAACTCATACCGATTGCACATCCAAGCTGACTCGGATACCTTTCCCATCGCTGGTTGGAATGCTCCACAGACAGAGCAAGCCTTTTGGAATGACATCTCCAGTTTGAGCTACCATGAAGTATTGATCAGTGGTCGTTGGTTTTCCAGGAACCTGACCACATCTTTCATCGCTCACTGTATCTGAAACTGGATTATGAAATGGATATGCACTTTTCGAACTAAATGTCACAAAATATTTCACATATATTCACGTCGGTTCTAAACTGAATAAATATTATTTGGATACACATTTTAGTCATGAAAAGCAGCTACATTGATTGTGAACGAGTAACAAATTGTAAGATTCAATAACATAAACTTGTACCTCGTTGGGGTATCGTAAAAACAAAAGGACGTTTTCTGGCAGTGGAAGTCCTGGTTTAGTCAATAACGGCTTCCTATCTCGAAGCCATTTTCGTGTTTTCTTGAAAACCACGTCTCATGTATAACCAAGGCACACACTGCTCAGGTAGACACATTATTTCGGTAAACATACGTAGTTGTATAGAGACCATTCTCTACGGTTCAATGTTATCCGTAATGAGCATGCTGGCATATTAGTTTACATATTTGCTCTGTATTCAGTAACACAATTACAAAATAGCACTGTTTCAAATTGACACCATTTCCATATTTCATAATTACACTGCGCTATGACATCCAATATTTGCAGTAAAATATGGTCAATAATCGAGTTTTCATAATTACAGAACTGGCCGGACTATTGATCAGTCATTTTGCATTCAAAGCAGAGCTGTTGAACATTCAACAGTCTACGCCTGAACGAAACTTACCATATACATAGTAAACCTTGAAATTGGACATCATTTGACTAGGATCTTTTGGAGCCTCAAACTCAATAGTGATGTCTTTGCCAGCTTCACCAGTGAAATGGTTTTTTCCTTGCTCGGCACAAATCTTTTGTCCTAGCTCCCAGTGTGAACCATCTGTGTTATAAACTGTAACGCACTGATCCTTGCTGTTGATCTGTCAATGAGAAAGTTATATATGCAAAGTGATTGCATGGGTCAAGAATATTCAATCTTCCGTGTTCACAATGTAGAACTGAAGCACATGGTGGAAAATGTTCACAACTTCATTTGATGGTTAGTTTAAAACATCAAGCAGCGCTCTTCAAAGAATATAGAAAATCAGAGCTCAGCTCATATTGTTAGCGAGTACCAGGACATATGGAATTTGAATAGGGAATCACTTTCAAATTCAGCACAAATGAAAATGCACCAGGGGAAAATCAATTGTAAGTTGTTGATCATTTAGATCAGTATCTTGGGGTTGATATTTCAAAGTAAATAAGGGAAACCCATAATCGTTTAATTCAACGTATTGTGTGTATTCAAGTGGATTACCAGAAACAGATGCAAAAATGTCATTCANCCCGCCACAATTGAAGTCCCGGGTTCAGCAATCTCGAAAGATTGTACTTCGTGTGTTGGATCGTTTACGGTTTTTGTGCACAGTCTGTTATTCACTGATAAAATTGGTCATCGATGAGAATAAGTTATTGGTATTTGTCTCAAATCACATGAGAATGTTTTTTGTGTTTCAGTGATTTATATATGACTCACCCAAATGGAAATATAATGTGACGCTTTTGAGGCCGCTGCCCACACTTTTGGGGACAATTGTAATGTAACTGTTCGACATGGTTGTTGCATTTTTTGAATCATCGCACCATTCAGCAAGTGATGGGCTTTGTGGGCCAGACAATGTTATACAATTTGTACCTTCACCTTTCTACAAGATTCGCGCTATTACATTTGTATTTGATTACCTCATCTGAAACCGGAGCGGTACTTGGGACTCTGGTTATTTCAATTTCTCTGTGCGAGGTTGTGGTGATATTCCATTTACAGGTTTCATCCCTTGTTGCAGGTAGAACCAGTGCTTGCTCCACTCCAGTTGCCACATAGTCCTTCTTGCCACATTTGTCATCGTCTAAGATATTTTGCATTATGCATCAAATTTTGACTAATTTTACACGACCAACCTGCATTCACAAAAACGCCGACTATTGTAAGAAATGCGATCAAAATTTGCAGCATGTTTGCAATCATTCACATCATTTCACGTCGTCAGTATTTATATGCTGCTAAGACGTGGGCGTGCCTACGAGTTGCTCAGAGATTTCGTAGACATTAATTTTACGTGTTTCCTGCGCTTCCCATTCGCAGTCACAATCCACAACGTAAGCAGTTCTCACTGAATGCCGCGTAGTACACACGTCTTTGACTGTAAATATAATTTCACGTAAAATCAACACCAAAGTGAAATAAATCTTTACATTGTCAATGTTCTGAAATTCGCGGTTTATAGAGAGTTATCTCACTGATATAGAGCTTTCTGATCACTCGATTATTTTACCACGAATAAAGCTTACGGGTTAACTTTGAAATTTATTCGATTAGCAGGTTCACTTTTGTCTTTGAAAATAACCAATAACACCGGTAGCACACAAATATGTTATGCATGAGGACCCCAGTTTCAATCTTAGACGAACCGTCGACTTTGCTCCAGTGATTAGCTCTAATGAAGAGTGAATCACGAATCGATCACCAACCAGGTGTAGGACTACTGTAGAAATTTAGGACCGTCATCTCAAGAGACACATTGGAGTTTATCAATCCAATTGACAATTTGTTTGTAAGGGGAACAAAGGTATTAGTAACTGGAAGGGAGGAACAAACGTAATTCACTCGTGGCTCTCGAATGAATGATCGCGATGCGTTGGGCTTTTTCCAAAGGAATCCTAGCGCGCGAGATTATTTCTATCTGACACCATCTCTATTTTTTCTGGACGGAAAGCCTTTGTCCGAATCTTAAAGCCCATCATCGACAGTTTACTCAGTGTTTTACATTTTCAGGTGATGGTAAGAACATACCATAAATATATATAACCTCATATCTGAAAACAAAATGTTCAATGTACTTCTGCTGGACAGTACTTGATTCCATTCAAAAATATTAGGTAACTTCGAAGGTGCTCGCTGCATGTTTCGTGAAGTCGACATGCTGAGTAAGCTTTGGAACCGATAACATTTGATTTCCTGCTCTACTTTTCCTTATCAATCTGGATTGGTTTTGATCAAGATGCTACGTTGAGTTGTAGAAACGCAGACCGTGGCGATTCAACCCAATGGGACAATAATCATATCACAGATCACGGGACAAAGGAAAAGTGATTATACCTACACCAATCGAAAAAGAAGATCTACTTGATATACATATTGATCGCTGATTTACTAGATTATCAAATGTGGCAAGCTGTTTTCCTAAGTTTGAAGATTCAGAGAACATAAAATGAAACTTACCCAGTGGGTTACAAAAAATAAATTGGGAGAATCCTTGTGAAATATGCGCATACAGTAAGCAATAGTAAATTTGGTATTCACTTGCTCCAAAGTTTATACCACAATTTATTCCAAAGTGCGCAGCGTCTTGCATGGATAGCGTGGATAGTGTGATTTGTGTGGTTTCTAGTTATGATTATTGCCTGGAAGAGCATGGGAATGCAGTGATCTGCAACATATACAAACTGGTTGTTCTGAATTTCATTGCAGTAATTATGATCACCAAAACGAGCCCACACAGAACAAAAGCAGGGCACAGAACCAGAGTAGTGTGGGTCAGCAAAGGTTGTACAGCCTGAGATGTGGATTTACCTGTGCCAATATCCGAAAAGCGTCTTATTCTTCAGTATGAGAAGAAGATATCTGTAGATCTAGCAATTATGGAAACAGTGGATGTTTCATAGATCGTTTCGGTGTTAATCAATGGCGTTTCCATATGGAAAATACGGCTCAATGCTTAGCGAATACCAGTGTGTATACCAATATGTATGGGAAGGGCAGTTATCGGATGCAACTTCAGAAACACTCTTGTTATATGTGATCATTGTGCTCACCTATTAAAATCAGAGAGATACTCGCGCTCTGCATATCCGACATGCAGACGATCAAACCAGATAAGGCTTCATTTGCGTAACTTTCATCAACCAGCATTCTTCTTCGCTGTCATTCCATAACGGTTGCCCAATCATGTTTTACACTCAATCATGTA